TCCGTAACCCTCTCCCGCCGTGAGCCCTCTCCCTTCCACTTAATTAAACCACCATCCCCTCACCCCAAAACACCACGAAATGTACTTAAAAAATAGCCATTAAAGCAATTATAGCCAACAATAATTACACAACAGAGAACCAAATTACTAGCCTGTTCCACCACCATGAGCAAGAAAATTAAATTATCATAAAATCAAGAATAATTATTTGCCAAGTGGCAGCGCCATAGGTTGTGATGACTACTGCTTGGCTTACCACATCTGAGTTTCAATAAACAGATGTTTTGGGGAGAGGGGATGATGTTTTGGGGTGAGGAAATGGTGGTTTAATTATGTGGACGGGGGAGAATGTCAGGGCGGCGCCGGCGCCGGGGGAAGGTGTCTGGGCGACGGCCGGTGCTTGGGAGTCATGTGGTTGGGCTCGGCAATGGGGTGGCTTGGTTGAAGAGGCTGGTGGTTTTTTTTTTTTTTTTGTAAATTTTTTTTAATTTTTTTTATTATTATTTTAAACCTATGGTAGAATGACACGTGTCCGATAACTTGTATGGCAAGTTGAATGACTGGATGAGACTGTTTTGAACGGATAGTGTATAAAGTTGGGATTATTAAAAAATAATCGAAAGTTGGGATTATTTAGAATAGATAGAGCAAAATTGGGATTATTCTTGGCAATTTTTCCTTATAATTATGATAATTATTCATATGAATGTCAACTAACGAAGTTGATGAGAGTGAGGGATAGCTCAAGTGGTTAAAACTTTCCTCCGATTCCAAGATAACTTGCGATCGATTCTCACCCTCAACCTTTTGTGGCTCTCTAAAAAAATAAAAAAAAAATAAAAAAAATAAAAAAAACCAAATAAACTTGGTTTAAGTATGAAAAGTGTATCAACAATATGTCAATATGTGATAAAAACACGCCTATATTAATAGGAGTACTGTGTAACAGACTAACGATAGACAAAAGATCACTCCAACACTTTTGCACAATATTGATGAGGTTATAACCCAAAAGGCAAAAAGCCCAAAACCAAAACTGATATTTAGTCAACTTCTGTAGAATGCATCACAAAGATGCAGAGTGCGGCATTACAATATTTTTGAACTACTGTTCTAAACATAAACAGATTTTCAAATCAACTTCATCTTGCATTTTTTAAGTCTACACAAGTTCACGTCGGAGCAGAGTTTGCTATGGATACATATTTTCTCCGCATAAAAAACACCCTCAAATCAATTGATAGTGAAAGAGTACACTTTAATTTTAATGTGAGACAATAGTTTTAACTTACTTACATACATGATATTTTTCAAACACGTAAAAAGCTAATAGAAAGAACAAAACCAGTGAAAATTACGGCAAAAACGTGTAATTGGATGCATTCTTACATCTCTAAGTCGCTAGCATAGTCAGATTTCCACACAAATTATAAAGTATGGAAGAGAATGAGATAAAAGAAATCAATTTCCACGTTATGTGCACACTTAGCTCCAAAACAGACCATGGTGACTTTTCTAACTTGCAACCAACTTTTTTTTTTTCCAAACAACCCATGTTCAAATATATTGTAAATAATAATTATAATAGCAATCAATTATAACTACTTTGATTAGTGGCTTTCCCAAACACGCCATAGTGGTATGTTAGTGCGTAAATTCTAATCCACAATTATACAATATGTCAATATTGATTTGTAATATACTGGTGTATATATTTGACTACTAATATCATTAATAATTTTGTGTCTAAAATAAAATTAAAAAGATTAATATACATGCAAGTAGTAGTTTGTGTTACATTATAAAAAAATCCTAGCCGTCTCCTCTTTTTTTTTTTTTCTCTCTAGAGTTCTTAAAAAAAAAAAAAAAAAAAAAAAAGTGTCTTATTTTTCCATTAGTTTCCTTATGTTTTTGTTATTAAATTCAATAAAACTACACTTTTTGAAGGTTCTAAGTACCCTGGCCTGTAGTGGATTTGAGTGTAGTAAATGCCCCTATGATGGACTTTGTTTTAGTTTTAGTTTTGTTTTTTGAGTTTAGTATGGTACAAGTTGTTTGTCAAATTAACTCAATACCTCCCAGTTTTCATTATGCTGAACCGTATACATAAATAGTTTACAATATATTCCTAATTATCTTAGGCTTAGGAATAAGATCAAATCAAATATTAACATAAAGGTAACTAAGGACTACTAACAATATTTCCTAAATATTATCTTTACATATATAATATTATCTCAACATCCCCCCTAAAGATGGAGCATGAAGATCTCGAATGCCCATCTTGTTAAGAAAAAAACTCAAATTGCGCCTTTCGCAATGCCTTTGTAAAGATATCCGCTAAATGTATCTTCGTAGACACATATGACGGACATATGAGACCCTCTTTAACTGCATCTCTAATAAAATGACAATCAAGTTCAATATGCTTGGTCCGTTCATGAAAGACTGGATTATTAGCAATATGTAGGGCCGACTGACTATCACATAAAACTTTCATCCCTTGCTTGTGTTCAACACCTAAATCATAAAGCATTCTCTTTAACCACTTCAATTCACATGTCAACGTTGACATTGATCGATATTCTGCTTCTGATGAGCTTTTAGACACCGTATGTTGTTTCTTGGTCTTCCATGACACATGAGAAAAACCAACTAACACAAGCCAACCAATCAAGGATCATCGAGTTAATGGACAACTTGCCCAATCTGAATCACACCAACCTTCCAACTGCAGAGCACTATCAGATCTAAGAAGAATACCTTGGCCCGGACACTTCTTTAGATATTGAATCACTCTCAAAGTTGCCTCTCAATGCTCTTCTTTTGGTGACTGCATAAACTGAGATAGTATATGCACCGAATATGTCAAGTCTGGTCTAGTCACAGCTAGATATATCTGACGCCTATATTTCTCACCATCTGAAAAATCTTTCCCCCCTGAAACTGCTAGCTTGTGATTCTGCTCCATTGGAAAATAAATTCGCAGGTTTAGCACCTAATAACCCTGTTTCTGAAATAATATCCAAGGCATACTTTCTCTGACAAACATAAAATCCATGTTTGCTATGGGCTACTTCTAATCCCAAAAAATATTTCAAGGCTCCTAGATCTTTCATTTTAAAACATTCACACAAATATGCTTTAAAACTCTCCAATGCAAATTTACTATTACATGCAATAATCATGTCATCCACATAAACTAACACACTCAATTGCAATTTACCTTTTGACAAAGTAAACAACGAGTAACACTACTAGAAAACAGCCAATCAACGACGGAAAAAATCCCTCGAAAAACCCTGAAATTCCGTCGGAACGCACCGTCACATTACCTTTTGTAGGAATTTCGTGATATTCCGAGAAAATTTCCGTCGGAAAGGTCCATTCTGACGGAATTAAGGTTGTCGGAGTCAAGTTTGACTTTATTGGGAATTCCATCGCAACGTTCCGACGGAACTGTTTCCGTCGTTATAATTTACCTTCCGATGGAATAGTCCGTTGGAACCTGCCGGAAAAAAAATTTAAAAAAAAAAAGAAAAAAACCTACCTCGCCCTCACCCACCAGGCCCACCACCGTAAACCACCACCTTAACCCACCTAACCCTAACCCACCAGATCCACCCCCTTAACCCACCACCATAACCCACCACCGTAACCCACTACACCGTAACCCACCAAAACCCTCTAACCCAAACCCTAACCCCCCACGCCTAACCACACCCTTATCCCACCACCGCAATAACCCTCTTTACCCCACCAGACCCACCACCTTAACCCTAACCAACCATCTTCACCTACCAGACCCGAACCCACCCACCAGAACCTACCAACCCGAACCCACCTCACCACCCACCAAAAAAAAACCCCTAACCCGTGACAAAAAAAAAAAAAAAAAAAAAAAAAAAAAAAAAAAAATCAAAACATAAAATGAAAACCAGAAATTCAAAATTAAATAAACAATCTAAAATCAACACAAAATTCAAAATTTAACAAAAACAAATTATACTATACAATTATCTCAAATATTTTAACTTAAATATACAATTATTTCAATAAAAAAGTTATACATTGAAAATTTGAACAAAATAAAACTAGATCTAATTCTAATCAAAATTAAATGTAGATTTGTTTTCGGTGTTGGTGTTGTCGGAGGTTGTTGCGGTGGTGGTGTTCTTGCGCGGCCTTGGTGTTGTCGATGGTTGTTGCGGTGGTGGTGTTCTTGCGCGGTTGGTGTTGTCGGTGGTTGTTGCAAAGAGGAGTGATAAGGAGATCGAGAAGAAAAAGAAAGGAGGAAAAAGGAGGGATGAGAAGAGAAGAAGGAGGGATGAGAAGAGAAGAAGGAGGGTCGAGAAATTAAAGGGAAAGAAGAAGAAGAACAGGCGGCTTTTCCTAGAGGGAAAGAAAGAGAAAGAAGAGAGGAGAGAGGAGAGTATAGGAGAGGAAAGAGAATAGGGGGGTTTCTGTGAGATCCGTCTTTTTAGGATTTAGTTTTTTTTTTTTTTTTATAAAATTCCGTCGAAATATTCCGAAGGATTTGGAATTTTCCTACGGAATTAAACCCGTAGGAAATTAATATATTCCGAGGGATTTATTTTCCCTCGGAATTTACATCTTCCGACGGAAAAATCCGTCGGGAGAAATTTTCCGAGGGAATATTCCGTCAGAAGCAGTAAATTCCGAGGGAAAAAAAAATCCGTCGGAATATTTCCGAGGGATTTTCCGTCGCAACTTAGCTTTTCCGACGGATATTTCTGACAAACCAAAATTACGTCGGAATTTTCGAATTCTCCGACGGAATTTAAGTCCGTCGAAACGATTCCGTCAGAAAACGACCTATTTCTAGAAGTGTAATCTGAATATGATTGTTTAAAACCATATTTTTTCAAGCTGTGGACAATTTCTCGAACCAACACCTAGGTGCCTGTCTTAGCCCGTACAACGATTTCTTCATTCTGCACACTTATCTGAATTGTTTCTCTGAAACCCAGGGGGAACTTTCATGTAAATCTCCTCCTCCAAATCTCCATGAAAAAGGCGTTATGTACATCCATTTGATGCACTTCCCAGTCCTTCACCGCTGCTACAACTAGAAAAGTACAAACTGTTGACATCTTTGCCACGAGAGCAAATGTCTCATTGTAGTCTATGCCTTCCTCTTGATGATTTCCAAGACATACCAATCTAGCTTTTAATCTAATCAGTTTGCCTTTCTCATCTCTCTTCTCAATGTAAACCCACTTGCTTCCAAGCGCTCTATTCCCTTTCGGAAGTGTCTCCAAGGTCCACGTACCTTGATCTTCTAAGGCCTTAATCTCGGATGCCATTGCATCTCTCCACCCTTCATGTCTCATTGCCTCTTGAAAAGTTCTTGGAATTCGCGCCTCTGTTACTGCAGCAATACAGTTTCTATGTTTCGAGGAAAACCGATCATAATTAAGAAAATAGGTTATAGGATAAATAGTACCTGAGGAAGATGATTCCGCGGATGACAACGGTGGAGCTTTATTTTTTGGAATAGTATGCGTAACATAGTCACAAAGTTTTGTCGAAAGGAACTTCACACGCTTCCCTCGCCCCAACATTTCCTCATTCGTTTCATCTTGAGTAGTATGAATTTCATCATTTGGAACCTCATCTTGCTGTACATCAGTATCCTCCGCAACTAAGCTGCGACCTTCATCACTTCCCCGCAACTGGATTGCGGACTGTACTGCTTGTGGATAGTCTGCCCCCCCTACCGAGCTGGTGCTAGCTCTGCTTACGCTCAGCCCTCGATGATGAGGTTGCCTGCTGCAGGCTCTGCTCTCGCCCAACACCTGTTGGACTGCCTTGGTGCTGCTCTCGGCCAGCTCCCGATTGACCCTCGATGGGTGCTCCATCTCCTTTGGCTTCCTAAAATTCATACTCACCTCTTATTTCTTCCTTAACTCCACTATGTGGTATGCCACCCATGTTCCATTGCTCAAATTCATCACCATTGTCTACACTAAACATCTCCTCTCCTAATCCCGACACCAAAGACTCATCCGATTTCTCAACATAAGAAAAAATATGCTTATGAAATTTCACGTCCCTAAACACAAAGTACTCCCTAGTCTCCAAATCAAACAATTGCCACCCCTTTTTTCCAAAAGGGTAACCAAGAAAAATACATTTCCGACCCCGAGACTCAAATTTATCTCCCTTACTTCTTTGATTATGTGCATAACACAAACATCCAAACACACGAATTGACTCATAAGAAGGAATTTCGCCAAACAACATTGGAGTTTTATTGTCAAGTAAAGGACTCGGAGTAAGATTAATCAAATAACAAGCTGTCAAAGCACACTCCCCCAAAACTTAATAGGTAATCTACCTTGAAATCTTAATGCCCGTGCCACATTCAAAATATGTTGATGTTTTCTCTCCACTCTGCCATTCTTTTGAGGAGTACCAACACAAGAAGACTAAAAAATAATCCCATTTTTGACAAAATATTCCCTAAGATGATTAAATTCGGTACCATTATCACTACGAACCACTTTTATTTCTCTATTAAATTGGCGTTTTATCAAAGCAATAAAATTGAGAAAATGAAATTCAACTTCAGTTTTATTGCTAATCAAATAAATCCACACACCCCTAGAATAGTCATCTACTATTGTCAAAAAATATTTTGCACCACACGACAAGGCTACCCTGTAAGGACCCCACAAGTCAATCTGAACTAGATCAAACAAATTACTGGCTTTATTCTTGCTAATAGGAAACCTATCTATAGATTGTTTTGCCCAAGGGCATACATCACACACATTATTATTCCTCCTAATTGAGTTACTCGTAGGCGGAAGTAACTTCAAAACTTTCTCCGACGGATGACCGATGCGTTGATGTCAATGATCTACCACACATTCCACTGCTAGCACCTTCACTTGCGGCACACCTCGAAAAATAAATTCCATTTTCTCGTTCACCCACGCCAATTACCGTCCTTATCAATTGGTCCTGAATAACACAAATTTTGTTAGTAAATTGCATTGTACATCTAGATTCATCACTCAGTTTAGTGACAGAGATTAAATTACATTTTAAATGTGGTACAAACAACTCATTATCAACAACAAGACCACCCTCTAGTGTAACCGAACCCAATTGATTCACGTTCACTATTTGACCATCCGGTAATCCCACTGGATAATTTTGAATTGTTTTAATGTTTCTCATAATCGACAAATCATTTGTTACATGATTAAAGGCTCCGGTATCCACGATCCACGGGACTTTTGTCTTACCTTCTAAGCGAGACTTAGATTTATTACTAAGAAACTCAATGATTTGTTGTGCCTGATCGGATGTCACACCTACAAGGCCTTGTGTGGAGGGAGCCTGATTATTGTTGCTTCCCGCTGCATTGTTCACGCCCCCTTGGATAGCATTTGCACGATGTGCAGTATTTGTAGAAGCATTACTTCGCCCCCCACTAGCATCACGACCACTATTTCTTCCCCACGACCACCTCGTCCTCCTCTACCGGCACCTCTACCTCCTTTACGATTCTCGTCCCACCATTCGGGAAACCCGATCAATTGATAACAACTCTCTTTATCATGACCTTCCCGATTGCAATGAGTACAAAATGGTCTTTCACCATCACCCGAGGTCGACTTAACTCATGAGTCCACCTTAAAAGCCATCACATTCTCCTTTGTCTTTCCATCCCTCGAACGAAGCCTCTCGATGTTTATCACTGCTTGATATGCACTATCCACAAGAAGCAAGGGCATTTGTGCCAACAATTGAGCCCGGATTGCCTCGTATGGATCATCAAGCCCAATCAAAAAATAGTGCAAGTAATCTTCATCACGAATGTCACCTACTTGCATTGCTTTGCAATATTGCATTTGCATTGCCCACAATAACACTTTGGAACTCGGCAGTACCGTAGCAGCTCCGTCCATATTTTGGATAACCGTCCAAAATACTCTGTAACCGACTCTGAGGACGTTTGCTTACACTCTCCCAAAGAATTCTTCAATTGACAGACTCGAGTACCACTTACAACACAATATCGTTGTTGAATATGTACCCATAACTCACTCACGTAATCATAATCTCAGATGGTGGGACGCAAGGAATCATCCAACGTATTACTAATCCAAAAAACAAGCATGGAATTTACAGCTACCAAATGCTTCCTCTTTGGAGAATCGGCTGCAGGCTCCTCAATCGAGCCATCCACAAACCCAAACTTCCACTTAGCAATCAAGGCTCTACGTATAGCCTTAGCCCACTCGTCATAATTCGCCTCGGGTAGCTTGATTGGTGTAATAATTATTCTGGGATGATCACTCGATCCCAGATGATACTCAAGATCGACAGTAGGTGGTGGCGGAACATCATCATCTCCCTTCGCCATTACCAATCACGCTGAAAAAAATAAAATAAAATTGTGGATTCCTAAACCTAGGCTCCTGATATCATGTCAAATTAACTCAATACCTCCCAGTTCTCATTATGCTGAACCGTGTACATATATAGTTTACAATATATTCCTAATTATCTTAGGCTTAGGAATAAGATCAAATCAAATATTAACATAAAGATAACTAAGGACTACTAACAATATTTCCAAATATTATCTTTACATATATAATATTATATCAACACTGTATCATGGGTAAAGATTTGTGTGGGATCGAAAAAGAGGTTAATCCTTCGATTACAATCACATGAATCAGACGAAAATTTTCTTCACGACTACAACAGAACAATAGACCCCCTCGTCGAAGAAGGCTGTAAATCACAGCGATATGAAAGAGGGTATGAAGAATGTACGATTTGCAATAACGATCGTTGCTCTGCTGAAAGGAAGTTTTTATTTGATTCAATTGTCATGTATTTATTAGATATAAATCTCTTTGTAGATGTCGTATGACTTTTTATTTATGAATCAATCTTTATCCAAAAAAAAAAGTATTTTGTGTTACATTTGTCAAATTGGGTTGGTCGGACTAGTTTCGAGTAAAAAATTAAACAGATTTAATATATTAATTGACCTAATTTCAATTTATATATCCTTCATTCTTTTTTGTTCTACTCACAATTACTATTCATTGGATCAAATAAAAAAACTTTGATCATCTATTACGGCTTATATACAAATAAAAATTTATCATATATGTTCTAGTTAGAATTGTTTTAATGTTTATTATCTAAATATCATATTTTCATAATTTGTCTTACACATGTAATTAATGTAATAATTGGCCAAACATGTGAGTTGGAGACCACATAAAATGCAAGTGATAAAAGAATGGAGGGAGTATACTCATATAGAGGGTGCTATCAAATTATCATTCACGGCAACAGCCATAAAAATGATCAATGATTAGAGGGAAATGATCTTTTTAATTTGTCAACTAAAGTCATGATAAATCTACCTACGATGATCCAACGTATATCTGCCAAAAAGACTAAAAGTTATTCATTGAATCATCTTAAAATTTAAATGCAATGGTGTTCAATCATGCACAATTTTTTTAAAAAAGTAAAGATTTTAAACCCATAACCTTGTAGTTAATTAAAAAAAAAAAAAGAGAAAAGAAAAAGAAAGTTAAATCTAATAATTATTCATTATAACTAAAGTCATATTTTGTTCCCCTTAAGTTTAATTAATACATTTATATAAGTTATGAAAAGGTAAAATAAATTCTACTTAAGCTTAATTTGATTACAACTAAACTAAGTTGTGATAAGATTATTTAGATAATTTAAACACTTATAAATAAGTTTAATGTATTAATCAATGAAAAATCAAGTGAATATATACTTCGTATAATGCACTGGTGTGTTTTATTCATCTAATATGCACTTTTATTGTATTTGAATTTATCTAAACTTACCCAGAGAACTTATTTTAATTATATATCGTAATTTAAATTTGGGTTGCCCTTATCAACTCTTATTAAAAGCCTATTTTGTTCTGAATTATCTTATTTGAATTAATTATTTTTCTTAAAGTAAGTAAAAAGGTGAACAAAAGTCTTAAGACACACGATGATCGATATGAGCAATTTGATCGGCTACTTGATTTGACTATCCGAGACATACAGTTTTTTTTACAACAATTTGTAAGAAATTAAAGAGCCATGAACTTTTTGTTTTTCCCTCCTATCAGCTAACCATACATCATCACGTAGACTAATTAAAGAAACCCCAAATTGAATACACATTATATTACTTGATAAGTTAATTTTTATCACTTAAAAAAATTTGGTCATCATTCACATGCACAAACAAATCAATATTGAGCAGATTAAGCCGAAAATGGCAGTAATAATATAGGATCCTCAATTGACTGACGTGAGAACAAAATAGAATTTTGACTGGCTCCCCTGTTTTTATGTTCCTATGATTATTTTTATTTCTAATTAGTCAGCAGTAGTTTGTTTGTTATCATTTTTGTTTTCAATTTTCACAATATTTTTGAAAATCATTAAGTCATTAAAAATTTAAAGGATGAAAATTGCCACTTATACTAAACGGATCCTAAGTTTAATTAGAACCAAATTAAGTTTTCAAAGCAAGTCCCTGGCGCAGTTTGGTTCATTTCGTTTTGTCTGAAATTATTATTTTTTTTTTTTTCTCCTCCTTTTTAGGTGAACTAGTTTGATTTATGTACATTTCAAGTATTCACATAATCACTTTTGCACTACTTTGATAATTGAAATTGGTCAAGTACGAGTAAAACAGAATAGAAAAAGTATTGTATTACTTAAACTATTCAGAACTTATTTTATATTGTTTGAATTTATGTGAACTTATGTAATTTTATCTAAACTTATTACTCAATATAACATATGAAAACAAAAATCAAAATCAACTTAATGGAACATAT